TGCCCCTGCCCTCCCCGCGGATGGTTACTCTGGCCATCTGTTCATGGTTTTGGAATTGGAGCAATAAAATTGAAGAGAGATGGTTAGCAAAGCATTTTAAACTGTTTCATTTTATTTTGTATATTTTAATGCAAGACTTTCTTATGTTACAGACAAGTCTTTCACCATATGGGGCTGGAAAATGTCCAGAGGCAGCAGGAGCTTGAGGCAAACGCTCTGTTTGGACTGGCTTGGTGTCCTTCAACTCCATGCAGTCATGGCCCTGGTACCTCGGGCAGCACCTCCACGCCAGCTCTGTGACAGTCTTGTAGGCAATCTTGTACGTCGGTCTAAAGTGTGTTTGATATCTGGGAACATAAGACTTTAGTATAAAGTAATATTGCAAAAATCTACTTGAAACATATTCAGACAAATAAGATTTCTTGCTATTCTTCTTCTCAGCAATACAAAGTAAATTTGTAGCTAATTAAGACTAGACAAACCCCGGTCTGCTCGTTTCATTAATCATGCAGTTGGCAGGACTCAGTTCCCACCAGTTCCACTCACGAAAACTGCTGTTTCTGTCACCCATGATTAACTACATGTCACTGGTGTATTGGTTGCTCAATAAACAGTAAAGCAAAACAAAGGGGAAGTCAGAGAAATGCCAGCCCATGTCTGCTTTTCTATGACCAGTGAAGGCTGGATGGGAAATTTTTTCTTGCTAATTCTGATATTTTGCTTACGTTTTGCTTTCTTATTTATTTTTATTTTTTTTTATCAACAGTTAAAAAGACCCAAAGAAACAAATAAACCCATTCATAGTATTCCCTGATTGCCTATTATAAGACAGTAACAAAAGTATTGCTTCATATAACAAAATAAATAGACAAAAAAAAAAAAGAAGAAGAAGAAACTGACAAAAACAGAATTTGCCGCCCTCCACCTAATATCCAGCACTTCTGGGAACTTACATCACTTGTTGCGCACAGTTTGGCAGCTCCGGTGGACACGGTAAAACCTCCGGCTGTACGAAGCTCTCAGTGCCTCCCGCTACAGCGCAGCTCACGTTCTTGTGCACAACGTAGGCGCACCAATTTCTGCACAAAATCACTTGTTAATCACTCCTGGTGTGCAGCAAATGCCCGCGTGCGTATGCACGAACAATTAAATGCAAAGTTACGCACAGAAAAGAAAGAGTACTTCACTGACTTGCAGTCATGAGTTCAATAACTGATGTCCAGTTTACTTACTTGTTTCTTTGTCTCGTTTCGGCGCCAGAATATGCGTTTCCCTGAAACATGCTGTACTGAAAAGGTGAGCCAGTGATGAGAGGGAAAACCATTAACAAATGGATAAGTAGGAGTCCGCGCTTCATGGCTGAGATATTTTAAATCCTGCAGTATCCCTTCAGGTTGTAATCAGTAGTGATGATCTCTTTGGTTTGGAGATCAGTGAAGGCACTGCGGATTGCTCCGTCTCTTTAGCACACACATCTAAACCAGCTCCTTCCAGCGTCCTTGGATGTGACGTTTCGGGAACCCCTCCAACGCTGACAGATGCGTTTTCTCCAACTTGCCAGTTCTCGCATATACACATGCAAGTGCACATTTCGCTCTCATTTCGCATATAAAACATTGTATTCGCCGTAAATAATATCCGGACGTCTAAATGTGGATAATGGTTGATTTTGTTTCAAAGGCACAGTGATTATCTCCGTGCGTAAAATGTGCGCTTAACACTGTCGGTATGCTTAAACTTAACAAGTAAAGTTTTCAGTTTTGCGTTTTTCAGAAAAGAAACGAACAAATACACAAAGTGCGATCTTAAGAATTTTTTACTGCATACATTCAGCAGATTCAGCATGCTCTGCAAAGATCATAAGCACTTTTTACCATTACAAAAGTGTTAAAATGTACAAAAGGCATCTAAAAGATAAAATACATTGTATCAACTCAAAGTTAACAAAGAAATAAAACTACAAAAAAGACTTATAGTAAAACAATCCATTGGTCCAATCAGAATCTCTTATGTGGAACTCTGTCTTGCTCTTTTTGAAATGCTGCTGGAGGGCTGACCACCATCCACAGCGCGTCGTTTCATTCCTTTTGCTGATGCTGATGCTAGAAGAAGAACAAAGATCAATTAAAATTCAACAAAATCAAAATAAAATCATCAACAACTGTCTCAAACAACATACCGAGTTCCTTTTCAATCTCTGTTAGCTGCCTCTTTTTGTCGTCCAAATCTTTTTCCATTTGCCGCACATCAGGAGACGTAATTTTTTTAACGTGATCATCTCGCGCCCTTTCTGTTTCCTCTCTCTTCGATACAGCTGAGCAGTACTGGCTGAGCAGGTCTGTCAAGCACACCCCAGAAAACAGAAATTACAGCATAATCTGAATCATTAAGGCTACAAAATCAAGCTTTAAAAATGTAAAATGTCCATGATTTAAGTCACCTATTTGTTCCTTTAGACTGTGGTACTGCTGTGGGAGGGGGGCTCCAAACATGTGTAACGTGGTCATCGGTGGGGCCCTGTTCTGTGCACCTCCAAACTTTCCCCTGCTACTGACCCTATCCCCCTGCCTGGTCAGTATGGTGGGACATTGGATCCTGTTCTGCACCACCTGTAAACAACAGCTTTTTTTTGTTAGAGGAAATTAACCAGAGTTTCCACCGATACAGCAACACTGCTGCTGCAAAGCCAGTTCTGCCCTGGTTCCATTGAGGAGCCAGCACACAATATGACAGGTTTGGGAGCCTAGTGGACACAATCTGCAAAGGTCATCGATGAATCATTTTGCTGGCCCCTTGAGTTTCACTCTTTGGCAGCAGTCCCTCTTTTTTTTTTTCCTCCACTGGAACTAATAAAAGTCTAATCAGTTCTATATTAGGCACCAGCTCTGGCACAGTGTTAGTTTAAAAAACAAAATTGCACATCTGTTTCAGCAAAGTCACTCACCGCCCTTCTGTAGTTATTTGCAGAGTCCAGGTCATCAATCAGAATAGTATCTCCCAGGATGTTCTTAAACACTAGAAAGAAAAAAATAGCACGAGCAAGAAACTTTCAGACCTGCTGGAACAAATTTAAAACTAACTTTTTTTTAACTGCTACTGAAAACTTTCATAATCAAGTGGCAAGAAGCCAAGTGTTCATATTTCAATGTAAATCAGAGGCAATCAGTGTAAATTTAAACGGTAAATGCTCTGAATCCAAACCGACAGAGCCAACTTTTACCCACGACAAAGAAAATCACTACATAAACAGTCATTTTAATTTCGGGAAAGAGGCCCAATTTCTGCTCCAGCGACAGTGCCCCTGGAGAGAAAGCCCGCTTCCACCCTGTGAGGCTGGATCCCAGGTGGAAACATTTACCCCAATCTTTACAGGAGTGGTGGGGGCATAAGGGAAATGCCCCCGAAACAACAGCAAACACAGCCTGAGATGGCAAGCCTCTAAAAACCCACAGAAACCCCAGAGTCTTACTTCAAATCTGCAATAA